TGGTTTAATAATATACTCCAACGGTGAGTTGATGCTGAGAAAAAGTTATAAATGCCTTGAATTAAATCAAAGAATGCGACAGCCTCCATACAACAATTAGCTGCATCGTTCAATACCAAGTTGAGCGAGTGGGCACTACAAGGAACAAAAAAAGCTTGAGGATTTAGTTGACGAATTCTGGCTTGCACACCATTATATTTTCTGCGCATGTTGGCTCCATTATCGTACCCTTGTCCCCTCATGTCATCAAGATTTACGTCTAATTCCTGCAACTTATCGATAACAACTTTTGTCATATTTGCTTCCGTTGTGTCTTGTAATTCAAGAAAAGTTACGAAGTGTTCAGAAACTACGACTTCAGCTGGTTTTTCCGAAGATAATTCAGTTGCACTGACAAACCTAAAAACAACTGTCATCTGCTCCATGTGGCTTATATCGGGGGTACAGTCTAAAATAAGTGAGTAGTACTTTGCTCGCTCTAGTTTTGCTAAGATGTCATTTTTGATTTTATTAGCAAGCAATTCAACGATTTCATTTTGAATAGTTTTTCCGAGATAGGTGGTGTGAATTTCACTTGTTGTTATTCGTTGAATATGTTTACTCATAATAGGATCATAATTTCCTAAGAATTCAATAAATTTAAGAAAATTTCCGTTATTCGGTTCGAAAAGCTTTTCACATGTTCCTCTTAATGCTAGATTTTGTCCAGCAAGATTTCTAATTAACGTTATTATTCTTGCAAGAACTTGTCGCCAATGTTGAGTTTCAGATTGAATTATTTTTTGATTAATGTGATCAATCGTAGCCCCTAATTTAAGTCTCACCTCCAGATCTCTCCAATTTAGATATGCAGTAGTGTGGCCACTTGATGTTTCATGTCGTTTAATAATAACAGAAATATTTTTCCAATCTCGGCAGCCGTCATGCGATGACAGGGAGAATTTATTCGGACTAAATATCTTACAGCAAAAGCAAAATACAGTGTCTTTCGTAATGGAGTACACCAACCAAGTGCGTTTAATTTTATCGCCATTAGACATTTGGCGATAAAAATGAAAGCTTGAAAATTTTCTACCTTGTTCATCTTCGGGAAATAAAGACGGCAATTTTTGAATTGGACCATACTTCATCAGCAATGCTTTAAATTTACCATCTATTATAGGCCATTTTGCCGGATCATTAAAATTAAGAGGCAAATCTTTATTGGTTTTGGGGTCTTCACCACTTTGATCTTCATTGTTTTCATTTTGTCCTATATCATCGACGTTCTGTACAGCAACTTCACTTAAATTGGAGATAAATTCCACTTCATCAACATTTTCTGGTTCTTTAGCAGTATCATTATTTCTAGAATTTCTATATTCATTAACACTAACACTATCCGCATATTCTATTTCTCCACCGCTTTCGATTTCAATTTCAACTTCATTTTGGTTTGAAGTTGAAGCTACTATAGGTGCCAGTGCTTTTTCGCTTGATGACCTGCTCAAAAAGTACAACAAAGCATTCTTCTGCTTGGCAGAATTTGCTTCACGTTGAAGCCTAATTTTCTTGTATTGTGACCCAGACAAGCGCTGTCTCTTACCACGGTCCATTATATTGTATCGTCTAAAGAATTTAAACTTAAAAAAAATATAGCATTGATACATATACCTAAATTTTTATATTTAATGATAATAATAATAATAATAAGTTTATTCAAATACATGAAAAAGAAAACGAAAAAACTAACTTTAACTACTTACTTATAAAAATTATTGTTGGACAAATATTAATCAATTTATAAAAGGGTATAATAATTTTTTTTTTTTTCAAAGTTAAAGTTCGTTTAATAATACACTTTTATAACAATTTACAATAGATATCTCAAAGATAACTTCAATAAAATTTTTAAGAAAGTTTCTTAGGAATATTCTGGAACTTTAATTTGCTTAGTCAGCGTATTTTATGAACCAAAAGAATTCGTTTGTTTGTTTATTTGGCGGTTTGCTAACATCCATCCCTGAAAAAGAAAAAATAAACTTTTTTTTACTGTTTCTTCTTCGCCAAATCCCAAATGTAAAACATGTATACAAACAAACACTTTTATTACTATATTATTTATTTGAAAAAATTAGTATGTATTAAAGTTCCCGTAAAAAAAATAAAATAATTTCTTGTTACAAAAAAAAAATTTATATATATATATTTTTTTTGGGAAAACACAAAACAAATTAAGAAAAGTGACGCTCTAGAAAAGTGCCGCCGTCGGCTGTCACCGACGTCGCCTACGCTTAAAACCAGGCCTATATATATATATATATATATATATATATATATATATATATATATATATATATATATATATATATATATATATATATATATATATATATATATATATATATATATATATATATATATATATATATATATATATATATATATATATATATATATATATATATATATATATATATATATAACCGTGCAAAAAAAAAAAAAAAAATTAAAAAGTGATTTGGCTTTTCGTAAAAAAAACTTTTCACTTTTTAACATTAATACTATTCTTTTAAAACCTCAAAATCTCAAAATCAGGATTCCATAATATAAAATCAAAATTCCATAATAGATTGTAGATTTAGCTTCAGTATCAGATTTAGAACTTAGTGAAAGTGAAGAAAAAAGTTTTATTTAAATTGTAAACGTTTTGAGTAATTAATTATTTTTCTTGAAAATATTTTTAAAAGTAAAAACATTCGATTGCAAATATTAAACCAGTGATTATTACAAACATTAAACCAAAAATTTAATTATAAAAAATTTAAATTAAAAAATATTAATTGTTTTTTCAAATCAAAATTTTTTTCCAAAAAAATAATTTAATGATAAACTTAAACTAAAGGAAGTATAATTTGATTTATTAAACCAAATTATTTCTCTCAGTTTTTATTAGAAAAACAATTTGAAGGAAAAAATCAAATAAAAACATTAACTGAAAAACCCTTTTGCATGAAAAAATTAATTGTTCATCAATTTCAAATAGTATGGTAGATCTATAGCAATAAATTAGAAAAAAAAGGTGTAATGTTTTTTCTAAAAAAAACATTAGATACCTTTAAAGGTATCTAATGTTTTTTTGCTTTGATCTCACTTCTTTGGTTTATAGCATGATTAGCGCAAATATGAAGTTTAAAGTTTTATGACAATAATATTTTAATTCATTACCTAGAACAATTTTATTTATTTACTGTGTTTTTTTCTAAACGCGTTTTGTTATTTGTTAAATGTATAAAAATATGTATAAAAAGAAGTTGTTTTACATTAAATTACAAGCTCTTTATATTGTCAACTTTTGCAGTATTGTTTTATTTTTGTTTTATAGCTTTTTACAATTACAATTCATTCTAAAATAACACTTGTTTTATAGCTAATTAAAATGATATTTGCGTTTTTTCCTTTACTTTTTACCTTCTAAGTAAAAACAATTACTAAAAGTAATATTGTAATAGTACGCTACTTGCTCATTACATTATAACTTGCTCATTAATTATAACTTGCTCATTAAACTATAACTGCAACCAGGGCCATCCCAAAGAGATCTTAAAGGAGGGGTGTGTGTATGTGTGACAGATCTGATTTTTGCCATGTAAGGCCTAGAAATTTTTTTTTCAGACTAAGACCTAAAAGAAAAAAAGGTCCTCATTTGCTGACATAGTTGGCTGACTGCCAACTTTAGATCCAATTTTGCTGACTTCAGTGTCCGATTTGCCAACTAATAAATTTTGTAGGGGGGCTAGACTCTCCCTATAGAATTTATTAAACTCTAAAAACAAGAAAGTTACTAGATGTTTAAATATGAGAGCTATTATCTTAAAAAAATTACAATTACAAACTAATTTACAAAAGGTTATGCAACCCCCCCCCCTCACCCTTCCTTACTGCAAAGTAGCGCCAGAGATGAGAAGGGGGGTGGGGGGAGGTATTCAATTTTTTTTTTTGCAATTAGATTTTTTTGCATTAATTCGAGCCCTGAAAGAAGACATCTTTCATTAGGTATTTCATCATCTTTCATCTCTTTTCAATTTTCTAGTTAAATTCACCTTTTTGTTGTAAATTTAAATACTGAAGAAATTATTATTAAATAAATAAATAATTTTCAACTTTAAAAGTTTTTAGGTGTTCTTTATTAGAATTGAGTTTGTAGAATGTCTAGCCATGGCAAAGCAATAATAATTTTATATCAGCAAATGGTATAAAAGCATTAATTATTCTTATCTTAATTTTTTCCAAACATTGTTGCTTTTTTTCAACAATAAGAAATTAGTATCTTGAATGTATTATCTTTTTGGAAAAATTACAACTTTCGTAAGCCTCATGTCAAAAATAAAACAGATTTATTTTGATTAAAAAAATTGAAATAGTTAAGCTAATGTTACTTGAACAAATTTTTTATTTAATTATTTCCCCTAGGCTACTTCAGTCAAGGTGACTTTTTTTAATTATTTGTTTAACTCCTTTTCTGGTGTTGGGTGCATTTGAATTTTGATTGTGAGCTGATTGCTTTTTTATAGATTACTTTATCTCCTCTAGACTTCTGAGAAGACCACTTCAGTCAAAGCGACTACTCAATTTTTTTAATTATTTGTAACTTTCTGGCATTAGGTGCATTTGAATAGCTAATCTTTTGATTGTGAGCTGGTTGCTTGTTTATAGAATATAAAATTTTAAATTACTTATAGAGGGGTGCCAGCAGACTTTTTTTCAAAAATATTGTTCTGAAAGCAATCCTAGAATAATATTTTTGAAAAAATTGTTTTAAGAAAAATCAATGGTTTTAGTATTTTCATATTTTATTGGTACCCCTTTTAAATAATTTTAGTAAAAAATAGTATATAAATATGTTTAAAATAAAACTTAAGTATAAAGTTAAGGACATACAAATAAAAGTATTGTTTCTATAGAAACAATATCTATTGTATAGTTATTTATGAATATAGTTGATTTTCCTATTTTTACAGTTCAAATTTTTTAAAGTTATGTGTGTTAAAAGCCATTCAGAGCAGCAAAAAGCATTTAAACAAAATATTCAATGTTGATGAATTCTATCTTCGATTTTTTGCAGTTATACACAGTAATGATCCAATTGCTCGTTCCGTTACATTGAGGTAAGTTTTTCTAAAATTATTATTATTAAAGTAAACACACAATAAACACTTAATTTTTTGCACAAGAGAAATCACATAGTTTACACAGGATTAAACACTTAATTATCACAAGATAAAGCACTAACTTATTATTATAGTGTCAAAATAATTTTTAAAATAATATTAAGAAAAAAATTAATTTTATCAAAAATATTAAAAACGTATATATTTAATTTTATCTAAAATATTAGTGTTGGTTGAAGTCTTTAGCTAAGTTGTAACTTTTCTTACCTAAAACAAAATTACAAAAAAATTATTTACTTTAACCTTTTTCACCTTTACAGTCTATACACACATCTTCTAAGTTAGAAAAAATCAAAGGACATAAATAAAGAGTAAAAAATAAAAAATTTATAAATTGTGTCTTTAAATTTATATATCTGATTTAAATATTTCTTTACAATGAGATAGTGATGAACATTCTTTATCAGACTTTGCACTAATTATAATCTTTTCAATGGTTTGTTCTTAAAAAGATAAAGTTGTATTTTCTAAATATAATAAACCTCGAAGTATAATATAAACCTTGTGTCAAACATGATTTGATCAAATGATTTTTTAGTTGTACACCTAACTTAAAAAACATCTTTTACCATTTTGGTAAAACAAGATTTTATAGTGAATGCATATTACAAACAAAGAAAATGAAAAGATAGATTTAAAATCTTTTTTTAAATTCATATTAAATGATTTTTATCCAAGGCTTATACCTTTTCAACCATATTTTGTTATTATATTTGTTTTTTTTAATTGTAAACACTTTGTGAAAAATTTTTTTTCAAACTATAATGAAACTTGTAAAATAGTTAAAAAATAAAATGGTTTATTAAATGGAAGAATAGTTATTGTATGAGTGTGAATTTTTTTTTTATCATCTGATCATTCTGATTATAAATAATTTTAGAATTTTTGGAAGTATTTCTTCTATTGTTGCTGAAAGAAAAGACATACATCATTGGTGCGATTCATTTTTTTTTTTTTTTTTTTATTGTATGAAAAGTTTTATTATTATTGGTTAACAGTTTTATTTTTATTTGCAGCATTACCAATAGTCTTGATTCCCATGATAATTCAGAAGTTGAAGCTGCTATATTTGCTACAAAAGCATTTGCTGAGCAATCAAGGTAATTTACAATAGTGGTGATACTTGCTCACATATAGAAGCTCATTGAGTTGAACTCCACTACGTGCTTTGCATTATTTAATATGGATTGTGTTATATAGATAAAAAATCAAATAAGTGCGATCAATTCATTTTGAGTATAATGTTTTTTTTTAATTTGTTAACAGTACATTTGCAATGGGAATGTGGCAAAAGATTTCTGAAATGGTAAAAGGTAGACTTATTTTGTAAGACGTATGGTAGACTTATTTTGTAAGACGTATGGTAGACTTATTTTGTAAGACTTATGGTAGACTTATTTTGTAAGACTTATGGTAGACTTATTTTGTGGTTATCATGTGAGAAAAAAGTTTAAAATTTAAGTGAAATTAACTTTATTACTTTAAATCTCTATTATGTTTTGGTGTCCAGGGGCTCTAAAAATGTTAAGTGTTTTATGATTAGCTGTAAGTAAATAATTCATGGGATTTAATGGCTTATTTTTTTTTAGCCCATAGTCCTGGAGTTGTTGCTGTCAGTATACACAAGGGCTTTAGATTTAAAGTTTGGTTCCTTCCCTAACCTAAAAGTTTTAATTTTCTCACAAAAGTAGTTCATTTATCGCTCTAGATTTTTTGAGCTCCTGGATACAGAAAATCAGCAAGAAATGATCATTTTATGACTTACAAATCTTTTTAAAATCCTTTTTGAGACTTTGCATCCCTGATTTTAACCTAAAAAAATGTAAGTACACAACTTTTAAAAAAACCTTTTTTAATTCCATATAGTAAACCGTTGCTTTAGTTAGAATGAATGGTGTTGTTAAATCTAAGTGTAACTCTAATTATGATACAAAATATAAAATGAGAGTAAAAACATGGTGTGTCTACATTATTTAATTATTAAAGCCTGTCAACGTTAAGTCTTTTGTGAAAAAATATTTTTATTTTGGGGTTCAAGTTTATGGAACTCTTCTCTAGATATGTTTGGTGATTTTTTTAAAGTTTTTTTATCAAATCCTTTTAGGTCTCACAACAAGTTTGGAATTAAAGATGAAGTTACTACCTGTGTTCAAATATATGCATCATGATTTTGCAATTGTTAAGAAGGTTGGTCAATCTAATTGTTATTTTAATTATTTTTGAATTAAATTTTTTAAATAATATTTTTAATTTTTTCTGCGCAAAAGAAAATTTTTTTTTTTTTTTCTATTAACAAAATAATTCAGCATATAAGTACCAGAAAAAGTTTTAAAAGTTTATAAATAATATTTATTTAAATTAATAGACTGCTTGACCAAACAAAACCCTCAGATGTTTGTGCATCATTGTCTATATCTACACTGTCAATGTATGCATAGTCACTGGGCTAAATAAATGTATGTACAACATGCTATATATATATAGCTGAATAAATTAGTTGTTTATAAACACTTATTATATTTATTTCGTATCTTTACTTATTTTATATTTACACAATGAAGTAAAAAGAATAACACCCAGAACACAAATAAGATAACCCAGAAAGTTTTTAAATAATTCATTAATCAGGAGCATTCTTCAATGTTATACTTTAATGAAGTGGTGCAACCTAATGTCTAGTCTACTGATTTTTTGATAGTAACATTTTTATGTGTTAAATTTGAGTTGGACTGATTGTCTGGTTGAAAAAGTGCTTCTACATAATCTTTAATTTTACTTTTTCATTTTCACTTTTTACTGAAAATGGATTTGAAAATTTAACTGTCTTAGCAAAATTGATTTTAACTTTTTTAAAATCATGTTAAAAACAATTCCTTATCATAAAAAAAAAACCCAGGTGGCACTTCATTAATCATAGTTGGCTTTCTCATCCACAGTGTGCAAATAATATTTTGTATTCCTGTAACATAAATAAGATCATAAACTGTGATATTAAGTTTATGTGAGATACAGTGAACAACAAAAAAATTATATTTTCTAGACATTGTATAGCATCTTTATAATCTTGACCCAGCAAGACTTGGGTAACCTTGGGTATGACTTAGGTAACCTTGGATAAGGCTTAGGTCACCTTGGGTAAAGCTTGTGTGGCCTATAACTTTGCTCATGCCTATTTTGTGTTTTTTTAGCTCTCAATTTTTATCATTTAATCGTTAAAATGTTTCGAATATTGGAGCTTTACCTATACTATATTAAAACAGTTTTAAAGCATTAATTGGAAATAATTGACATAAATTATGTCAACAGATTATTCTACAGTAAGTTTCAACATTGTACAGTATTCTACAGTAACTGTTTCAAGATTGTAGTAGCTGGTTGTTATGTCTTTGCTGAAACTGTACCAAAAACAAATAATATTTCATCTAAGCCATATTGCCACAGTTCTGAAAATGTATTTTTACCTAAACCATATAAGAAATTATAACAAATTTTGGTATATGCAGAACTTAGTTTAAGATATGCAGAATGCTAAAAATTTTTGTTTAATTTAAAAAATCCACAGGAGAAGAGCAAGTTCACTAAAAAAGATGAGTTCCATTTATGGGCACCCATTTTCTTACTTAAGTGTACTTAAGCTTTGAAAGTTTGATCCCCACCACATTCCTAGTAGGACAGCACTCAACTTGTTTCTTTACGTAGTGGCATTGTTTGTCAAGGCTCGTATTTCAAAGTTATAGAGTTGAGAGAGGGTTGTAACCACAACTAAATTAGCCTCCTCGACTCCAGTAGCCTCCATGGAATTGGGGAGGTGAATTAAAAATTAAAAAAAAAATAAATAACTGTTGGCATTTTACGAAGCCTATTTTTTATTATTTGCAGCCATTATTATTTATGTTGAAATTATATATGTATAATATCTTGTATAATATTGTATAGTTTTGAGGATTTGGTTTGTTTTCTTACGTTTTATTTTTAAAATTTTTGGATTTGTTTTTTATTAGATAAATTTACTATGTGATGAGTTAATGGAATCATATCCATCTCATATGCTTATTGCTACTGTGCTCAATACAACTACGCACTTGTCGCTGGCCACATTAGTTAATATCAAATCTCAGGTATGATTCAATACTTCAGTTTTACTGAAGTACTGAATTTTTATACTGCTCATTTAATTTAAATTTATTCATTCAAATTAAATGAGCCGTATTAATCTTTTATACTGCTCATTTGGGTATGCATAAAATGCATATTTTAATTTATTAGGTTTTAATTATATATATATATATATATATATATATATATATATATATATATATATATATATATATATATATATATATATATATATATATATGTATATGTATATTATATATATATATATATATATATATATATATATATATATGTATATATATATATATATGTATATATATATATATATATATGTATATATATATATATATATATATATATATATATATATATATATATATATGTATATATATATATATATATATATATATATATATATATATATATATATATATATATATATATATATATATATATATATATATGTAATACATTGTCTTGACATTGCATGGATCTTATTGGCAGATTAGTTTTAAATTTGATCTTCAAGAGTTAAATAAAAGTCAGCTTAAGTCAAAAGTTTTAATCAAAACTTGAGTCTTATTGGCAGGATAGTAAAAGGATCAGATCAGCAGAATTTCATTTTGTAATTAAGTTTTTTTAATGTTTTTGAGTTTTAATTCTCCAAGCTCAAAGCATTTGGATCATTTTATTTGATATAAATTGATTTTTAGATTACTCGATTACTTCATTTTACCTTTGAAGTGCCGCGCAAATCAATCAACCATGTTGCTATTCAAAATTTATTTCAGCTTGCAAAAAATGCTTCTTATCTATGGTGTGAAGAACAAGTGGAGGTGAAAATTAAATAGTTATGTTTGTTTTGCTTTTTTTTTTTATTATTATTGCTAGAATTTTTCTTTTTTAGCAATTGTTATCATCATTATTAACATCATCATTAAATTTGCAGAAGCAAATTTTCGAAATTATTGTAGTTTTAGGTTGCTCTTCACCACAGATTTTTTCTCAGAAAGGTAAGTTTCTCACTTTAATAGATTTTGAATATTTCGATTATTTGAATGTTTCATTCTTAAAAGTTCTTAAGAGTTAAAGCAATTAAATAAAATATATAAAATTTTGCAAAAGTTTTCAAAAAACTTAAAATTTTTATGAATATTAAAGTTAAATGAAAAAATTATTTTTTGAATAATTTTTTGCATGTCTTTGTTTTGCAAATCTATTGTTATTTTAAATTAAAATATGTTCTGATTCTTAAGCAAAAAGAAGTCATCATTATTTTACTTAATCTTGCGTAAATTTCACGAAAAAACTAGCCACACCACACATCCTGTTTATATTATTTTGATTAACTCCTTTTATTTCCTTATTGCTATATAAATTATTAAATATTATAAGATATTGCTTTTGTTTTTTCTAAAATATATTTTATTTTATAATTTTTAGCATTAATGGATTTGAATCATTTGAAAAACCATGTATGTACAGAGATATCTATTGCTTCTCTTCATGTTTTAGTTAGTGTTCAATCCAATGTTAAAGGTTTTTTAAATTATTTTTTTATTTTATTGATTTAAAAAGACAGATATAGTAGAAACAAATTGTAATAATAATATAATATACATAAATATTAATTTTGGTATTAATCAGCTAATCGTTTTTTTTTTTAAATACTTTTTGTAACTTGCCCATTCATTTGTTACCTGATTTTACCCATTTTTATTTATTTCTCAGCTCATATATTGACTAATTTATATTTATTTGTTAACTGATATATTGATCCAGTAAGATTGAATGTTATAGCACTTTTTAATTAGTATAATTTGTGAAGATTTTGAATTTCTTAAAAGATAAAACTCCAGTTTTTGTTTGGTTTAAAATATTTTTTATTTAGGCAGTTTAGAAGATACAGGGAGCTTGGAAGCAGAACTGCAAAGTCTGTTTTCCATGTCTATTCATGAAAAGTCTTTTGCTTCTCTAAAAGTAAGTCATTATTATTTTTTTTAAAGTTTATATTAATTTTTTATTGCAGACAAAATTTATCATTTAGTTTTTAAGTTTTCCCATAAAATAAAAACTTGTTTTTTTACAAATATTTTACCTAGTCAGCAATTAGCTGACGCAAATTAAACAAATGAAATTGTTGTAACTTTTTCAGAAATTTTATGTGTAATTTTTTCAGCAGTTATATTAGAACATGTATTTATGGCTTTTAAGTAACTTGACCATTAAAACATTAATTGTTCTCCACTTGATTTAATATAGGGGATTTATAATAATTTAGATATTTTTTTGTAACTTCAAAATTGCTGTAGGTAGTAACAGTTGTAGATGTAGGTTAGCTGTAAACAGTAAAGTATGTAAATGTAGATAAGGTATTGGTATTATTGGTTGTACACATAGATATGTTGTAAGTAGTAATTAATTAATAATTAGAAAAAACAAATGGTAGTTTAATAGTTAAAAAAATATTTAACAAAATTCAAATCAGTTTGTTTTCGAATTTTCAGAATTAGTGTTTAAACCAAAAAAAAATTTAAAGATATATAAAATTTATATTCATATTTTATGATGTAACTGAAAATATAACTTTGACAATTATAAGTACCAAAGTACCGTCTCATGTTATGATACTTTTGTACTGGAAATTTCACATTATTTCTATTTTTTTTTTAGTGTGCGTATATATATTTATACATCTACTATAACATATTTATGTAACAAATTGTTAGCATATTTTTTTTACATTATTTAAATAAAAATTTCTGGAAGAAGAAAAAAACTGAGAATAATGAAAGAAAAGATTGCTGTCACATGACAAATCCTCAGTCGATGTAGCAGCATTCCACTGCGAGTCAGGCTATTTGTCAGTTGATATATGTACTGAGGCCCCTAGCAGCAGGCTGTTTCAGTATGATGTCAGGCTGCTTGCCTAAACCAGCAGTATAAGATATATACATATATATATGTATATATCAAAAATTTCCAAAATATATATACATACACACGCATATATATATGTGTGTGTGTGTGTGTGTGTGTATGTGTGTGTGTATGTGTATGTGTATGTATATATGTTTGTGAATTTTTTGTTTAGATTTGTTTTAAAATGTTACATTTTTATATTTGTAGCAATGTTTGGAAATAGCAGTTATTATTGTTAAAAATTCAAATGATGTCTCTTCACTGCCAGCTTTTTTTTTGAAATGTTTACCATATTTAACAAGTATGGATTTATTTGTTTGATAAACTTATATATTGATTTTTTATTTTTAACTATAATTTATTTTTCCTTAGAAAATCAAGCTCTTGAAGTTTGTCGCTGCCTGGTAAAGTTAGCTGCACAGCGTATATGTTTGTTTGAAAACTTTGTAGACATTCTTTTACAATTCATAAGTAACAGTTTTACAAATGATTTATCCAAGGTTGACAAAGATATTATTGTAAGTTTTTATTGACAAGCGATTTGGTTATTGTTGGTTTTTTTGTTTTAATGTTGTTGTTTACTTTTATAAAGTTGTAAATATTTTTTTTATCGTGATTTTAAATGAAGTTAACAAAAAAATTAAATTAAAAAGGTTATTTAACTATTAATTTATAATGTGCACATATATTGAGTTTTGTAATATATTAAGTGCACATATATTGAGTTTTGTAATGTATAAAGTGCACATATATTGAGTTAGTAATGTATAAAGTGCACATATATCGAGTTTTGTAATGTATAAAGTGCACATATATTGACTTTTATGAAGGTTGTTGTAATAAAGTGCAAATCCACTGACTGATAATGGTAATAGCAGTGTTATAGCAAATTTTGTTATTACTAAGGTATTTATAGGGTATATATTTAGGCAATTATACTTATAATAGTAAACCTTAACTTAAAATCTTTTTTTCTTTATGCATCCCAAGTACGATTTTAACTTATATGTGTTTTTTCTTGCCGTTGTGAAAATGGAAAATTTGAAAGTTCCACTTGTGTTTAAAAAAAGATTCTTACTTTCATAATAAATTATTTTTGAAAGAAAACATTTAACAGGGGAAATTTGTTTTTAGGAAATATTAAACCAATTGTATGATGTTTTAAGAAAAAATTTTTATAATAATTTTGTGGCTTGTTTATTTTATCTAACTTTTTGCAACATAAATTTAAAAAAAAAATTTTAATATTGTTTTAGTTACTTTCTTTTGTTTTTATTGTTACTATAGTTATTTTCATTTATTGTTTTTAGGTGGGTTTAGTTACAGTTATTTATTATATTGAAGCAAAAAACCAGAAAAAAAATTTCCAAGAAGAATTATTTGTACATTTTACTAAACTCAATGAGTTGGGAGAATTGTGGATATTGTTTAGGTTAGCAAGACAAGCTTCAAGATTGGTAAGTGTTGTAAAACAGTTTTATCAATATAGGATTTTCATTTTTTACATTTTTATTTTTTATTTTTTTGTATTGTTTTAATTTAAAATTTACTTTAGTTTTATATTAAAATGTTTTACACAGTTAAAAAAAGTTACTTTTTTTTTTACTAGATAAACTTTAAAATAATGAAATATTGTAACTGTTAGTGTTTAATTTTGTAATTTTCTAATATTTTAATTATTTTAGGCTTATCCTACTCTGGCATATCGAGTTTTTAACTTACTGATTCCGAAGGTATTTTTTTTACGGAAGGTTTTATATACTTTTTTTTTTAATTATAAAACTTTTACAAAATGTTAACATTTTTTTTGCATATACAAATATATATATATATATATATATATATATATATATATATATATATATATATATATATATATATATGTTTCTTAACAGAAAAAGAAGCGTAGTAACTTCATTTGGCTCTCCTGTAAAATTTGTCAAATGTGAGTTACGATAGTTGACCTCTAAGGTACAGATATATATATATATATATATATATATATATATATATATATATATATATATATATATATATATATATATATATATATATATATATATACATATATATATATATATATATATATATATATATATATATATATATATATATATATATATATATATATATATATATATATATATATATAATATATATATATATATATATATATATGTATATATATATATATATATATATATATATATATATATATATATATATATATATATATATATATATATATATATATATATATATATATATATATATATATATATATATATATTTCCAGGTGTCTTCTGAAAGCTTTTATTTTTGGTTGAAGTGCTTGTCTAGTATTCATGAAGGTGAATCAATGTTGCTTGGAGAATTCTGTTCAATAGAAAAAGTCCATAAAATGTTGACTCTAGCACATAATCATTATCAGCAAGGTCTAATTTTCTTAAAGGCAAGTTCTTTTATTTCATTTTATTTTTTCAAATTTAATTTTTTACCTTTCATCTTTTGTCTTACCCTGTTAAAGTTGCAACAATAACTGTTTGCATAAATTTTAGAATTATAGGGCAAGTTGCAATAATAACTGTTTGCATAAATTAAAAAATAATATAATAATAGGTTTATTATTAAAAAAAAAAAAAGATATCAAAGAACTCAAAAAAGTTCAAAGAAGATACCAAATTAAGACATCTGGCATATAATCAAAGAATAAAAATATTAGATTTAACAAATTAGAAGTTCGAAGACTAAGAGGTGATATACAACAATATATTGTATATCATCTCTTAGTATATTGTTGTTATACAACAATATAAGTTATATAAAGGTTTTGAATCTGTTGATATGAAGAAAGTCTAGATACAAATTCATTCAATCAATACATCAGGTTCAGCATCCAATATTAGAGGTTACAAACATTGCATTAAATCACAGTTTGTTAAAAATTGTTTAATTAGACAACACTTTTTTACAAACAAGGTTGTTTTTGGATGGAATAGTTTACCTGAATGGGTAGTGGATTCTACATCAGTAAAATAATTTAAATGTAACTTTAAACCGGTTGACTTAAAAGTAATATTAAACAAGAAAAACAAAATTACAATTAAATTTTTTAGACAATTATTGTATTGGCTGTCATAGATATTGCCTAGCGCTTTATCTAAATAGAATTTGAATTATATTACGCTAAAATCAGGTTCGAATCCTTTGACCATTCTTTTATGTGCTTTCGCCTAGCACCTCTTCACTCTATCACCTTTCTCTTTGTTCTTTATCGTTCTCCTTCCCATAATTGCACTCTTTTAGATGTTATCTCTGATCAAATTGACCATGCCCTCTCTCTTTACCCCTCTGCCAATATTGTTGTTGTTGGTGATTTTAATGCCCATCACACTGAATGGCTTGGCTCTAACACCACTGATCCTGCTGGCACTAAAGCCTTTAACTTCTGCGTTTCTCAATCTCTTACTCAGATAGTTAACTTTGTGACTCGTTTTCCTGACAACCCTAATCATTTACCTTCACTCCTTGACTTATGTCTTGTCTCTGACCCTAGCTTATGTTCAGTTTCTCCCTTTTCTCCCTTAGGTGGTTCTGACCACGCAATGATCTCTGTAAATCTTTCTTCTCATACTTCTTTTTTGGGCTCACCTTATCATCGCACCACCTATTACTACCCTAAAGCTGACTGGGATTCCTTTCGTGATTTTCTTCGTGATGGTCCTTGGGCTAATGTTTTTTCTCTCTCAGCTGACAAATGCGCCTCCTACATAACCTCCTGGATTCAGGCTGGAATGGAAGCTTTTATTCCTTCTCGTCGGTTTCAAGTCAAGCCTCATTCTACTCCATGGTTTTCTCCTTCTTGTGCGGCTGCTATATCCAATCGTAACCATTTTTTTCATCTTTTTCAAAAGAACAACTCTCTTGAGAACAAACGGCTATTTATTATTGCAAGAAATCGATGTAAAAAGGTGCTTTCTGATGCTAAACTCCATTATTCTCAGTTCACTAAATCTCGCATCTTATCGCAGAAGTTAGGCTCTAAAGACTTTTGGAAAATCTTCAACAACATTGTTAACAAGGGTAGATCTAACATTCCATCTCTCATTCATGGGACTGATCTTGTTACCTCTCCCAGGGATAAGGCAGAACTGTTTGCAAAGAACTTTTCTTCTAATTCCACTCTTGAATATTATGGACATTTTCTTCCTTTTATTCCAGTCAAACAGGTTGACCCATTGTTAGACATTCAAATCACTCCGGCTTCTGTTGCTAAAGTCATGTCTCAATTAAACTCGTCTACAGCTTGTGGTCCAGACAACATTCCTGTCACAGTCTTGCAGAATTGTTCTCCAGAACTTTCTTCAATTCTCTCTAAACTATTTAACAAGTGTTTGACTGAGTCTTGTTTTCCTGCTTGTTGGAAAATGGCATCTGTGGTTCCAATATTCAAAAACTCTGGAGAAAATTCTGACCCCTCCAATTATCGTCCGATCAGTCTTCTTTCTGTTATTAGCAAGGTCTTTGAGTCTTTGATCAACAAATTCCTCACATCTCTAGAGTCAAATAAACTGCTGTCAGACAATCAATATGGTTTTCGATCCTCTCGCTCTACGGCCAACTTGCTAACTGCTGTAACTGAAAGATTTTATCGTGCATTAGATGGAGGCAGTGAGGCTAGGGCTATTGCTCTCGACATATCTAAAGCTTTCGACAAAGTTTGGTATGCTGGTCTTCTCCATAAGCTTGCTTTATATGGTGTTTCTGGGAAAGTTTTTGAGATTATCAAATCATTTCTTTCTGATCGGTTTATTAAAGTCATCCTTGAAGGCCAACACTCTTCTTTATTTCCAGTAACTTCTGGGGTTCCCCAAGGTTCCATCCTGGGCCCTGTTTTGTTTCTTATCTACATAAACGATCTTCCTGACAACCTTTCATCTAAAGTAGCTCTTTTTGCTGATGACTCAACTTTATACTCCTGTCTTGACAAAAAGTCTTCTCTTTTCGATCGCCTAGAACAAGCAGCTGATCTTGAATCTGATCTCACTTCAGTAATAGATTGGGGTTCACAGTGGCTTGTGAATTTCAACTCTAAAAAAACCCAATTGCTTACTGCAAACAACTACCGTAGTATGGTCAACATTCCTATATTAATGAATGGCAATCCTCTTACTGAGTCGTCCTCTTTACGTCTTCTTGGATTATCGCTTACTACTGACCTTTCATGGAAACCATATATACAATCGATTGCTAAATTAGCTTCTGCTAAGGTTGCTTCTCTTTATCGTGCTCGCCATTTCCTTACTTCTGATTCCATTCTCTACCTCTACAAATCTCTTATTCGTCCCTGTATGGAATACTGTTGTCATATTTGGGCTGGTTCTTCTAACGATTCACTTTCTCTTCTTGACAAGGTCCAAAAACGCATTGTAAATGTTGTTGGACCTGGACTATCTGCTAAGCTTGAACCTCTTTCCCATCGTCGTAAAGTTGCATCTCTTTCTCTTTTCTACAGATACTATCATGGTCACTGCTCAAAGGAGTTATCATCTCTAGTTCCATCAACTAAAATTCATTCTCGTTTTACTCGTCATTCAGCTAAGTCTCATTCGTTTACTGTATCTGTCCCAGCATGCTCTAAAAACTTTTATTCATCTAGTTTTTTTCTCCGCACTTCAATCCTTTGGAACTTTCTCCCATCTTCATGTTTTCCTGACTCCTACAACCTTCAACTTTTCAAGTCTTCTGTCAACCGTTTCCTTGCTCTATAACTCTGTTCTTTTTTTTCCTAGTAACTCCCAACTTAATAGTGGTTGCTTGCAGCCTTGTTGGGAGTGAATGCAATTAAAAAAAAAAAAAAAAAAAGATATTTTACAATAAAGTTGCAATATTTTATCACTAAATTAAGTTTACAATAAAGTCTTCTATAAATCTTGTTGAAAATATTGTTGCTGAACAATATTATTTAAGTGATTTTTCTTTGTTGAGTTGTAAAATCATTATAAGATATAATCTAAAGTTTATGCAATGCTGTTGCAACTTGTATCAACAATAAGTCCAAGACTTTCCTACTGCCACCAGTCTTCCCTGCTGCTTACTAGTGGTGTCCTGGATAAGATATCCGGTGGAATATATTTATTACATCCCCTGCTTATCTATTTTCAATATGAAACGTGAAATCACAGCTATCATTAATTTTAAAAAGTTTCCAAACAAAGCTCACTGATTTAAATTTTATCACAGCAATATTTTATCATAATATATATAATTTATGATTTGAATTACATTATCTGGCCAGATAATTTTTAAATATTCGGGTATTTGATATCTGGTCTGATAATTAAAAAATGTTATCCGGACACCCCTACTGCTTACCAACTTTAATAATGTTATGTTCAACTTATTTTTATAGGCAGCTGTTACTACTGAACACAATTTGTACTTTCAGTTTAAGTTTGTTCGCTTGCGTTCTGACTTTTTCAAAGCGTATATACATTTATTATCATGTTGCTCGAGTTTTAAATTTAGTGCTTCAACAAAATCACAGCAGCAACAACAAATTTTATTACAGGTTTTTTTTTAATTTTAAATAAAAAATAAAAAAATTAATAATTTTTGTATTAATTTTAATTTAATTGCTCAGAATTTGATTGTTTGTTTTTAATGCTATGCAGTAGTATAATAAATTGCCTCTTAAAGTGAGACAAACTTGTACAATTTTAACAGTTATAAGATAGGTAGAAGTTCAAATTTACTAAGACCTTATAAGTACACTATTCAGTGACCTTCCTTATCCATTCGGTGGCCCTTTTTTAACAAATCAGTTAAGTTAATAATACCATTAACAAATCAGCAGTAGAATGAGAAGATTGAAACCCATATTGATGATCAGAAAGTAAGTTATCAGATTCAAGATGAGAGATAAAATGTTTGTTCTTATGATAGTAAGAAGACTAATGGAAGAGTAGATCAGCTCTCAAAAATTTTTAAAAATATGGATAACAGATGCTGCTTTCCAGCAGGCTGGAAAACAAGACTTAGATAAACACTTGTTAAATAGTTTTGAAAGTACAGGCAACAGCTCCAGAGAATACTTCTGCAAGACTATAACAGGTCTGTTGTTTGGATTACAAGCTTTAAAAGAATCTAAGCAGGAAATTACTTTAGACAGAAGCTAGAGTGATACGAATGTTAAGCAATGGATCAATCTTTTTGTTGACTATATCAGGTATGTAATTAGTGGAATCAAGTGATAAGATAGACAAAAAGTTCATAGGAGACAATTCAACTTTGTTTTTAGGTGAGGTAACAAAACCTGAACCATGAAAGAGAGGTGGGATAACAGGTTTTACATTATTATAGATTTTGTGACCTTTAAATAGCAAGTTTTGGCGTTAGACTAAACCTTTTTACAATGGTTTCTAGCAATAGTAGACAAGCATCTATTTTTTAGAGAATTGTTTTGGTGATAAATATAAAAGTAATGGTTACGATTGAAAATTGCAGCAGCACAATGAAAGAAAAACCATGGAGAAAAGTGAGACTTAACTTTGGAATCGTGCAGAAGAAATAAAAGATTTCAAGAATTCTGAATTCAAGAAGTTACATAAGAAGCACATTTGTCAACAGTAAGAAAAAAGATTTTTACATCTCAAAGAAAATCAGTTGCAGCTTTAAAGTAGTTGTAAGAGTTACAATGATATTAAAAAACTTTGGCATTTAAAATTTGCCGAATGGTCACACACGAGCAGTGAACGCCTGAGGGAAGAAATGAAGTACATTAGAATAAAGGAGAATTATTTATTGAACAAAGCATATTTTGACAGTTATCAAGACAAAAATAAAGATTAATAGAGGAATACTTAAAAATAAATAAGACAGACTATACCTAAAACAGCACCCAACAACAACAATAACAATTAAAAAAAAAATTGTTGTTATAAACACCAATATGAACAAAGATATACAACAAATACATCACCAAACAAAAAACCGATCACAAAATAAAAAGTATGCTAATAACAATGGAAGGCCTCAGCATGGTAAAAAAACATTAATGCTAATGTGTAAACATAATTTGTGTAGTGATTAAGTAATAAACATCTCCTCAGAGTTGCGTCTATTATTACTGGCATATCGATGAGGATCAGCATTTATAACTAGTTTATACCGTCAGACAAATGTCATTATGCTTTACCCCGCGACTTTCGCCTATTCCATACTGCAGTAAAAAAGGACTTACTACAATTAGCCAAAACCCAAACAAATCCAAATTTGTAAAGCGCCAATATTTTGTTGATGATATGATATTAAAGGTGTAGATCTACTGAACAAACAAAAATAAAAATAACTAATTAAAACACTTACTATACCACCAAAAGAAAACATGAAAACAAAATAAATTAAAATCCTAATAGAAACATAAAAACATTAATTAATTTATTTTGAGAAATAAAACCAAAATAAGTATTATAAGCAAAAAACAAGCTCGAGATAATCAGAAAGCAGTATACCTCATTAAAAAATATTTTGAATCAACAAAACAAAAATAGCCTTAAATAAATTTAACGCTGTCATAGATACCTCATTCGAAATATGATAACCAATCAAAAGTGTAGAAAAATGAGCATCCTGCGAAACCCAAAATCATAACAATTGAATAATATATGATGGCGAAAAAGAACGTTGCACAAATATTATTTAAAAACTTTGAAAAAATGGTCACACACGAGCAGTGAACACCTGATGAAAAAAATGAAGTACAGACTTAACTTTGGAATCGTGCAGAAGAAAAAAAAGATTTCAAGAATTCTGAATTCAAGGAGTTACATAGGAAGCACATTTGTCAACAGGAAGAAAAAAGATTTTTACATCTCAAAGAAAATCAGTTGCAGTCAGCTTTAAAGTAGTTGTAAGAGTTACAATGATATTAAAAAACTGTGGCATTTAAAATTCGTCGAATGGTCACACACGACCAGTGAACGCCTGAGGGAAGAAATGAAGTACATTAGAATAAAGTAGAATTATTTATTGAACAAAGCATATTTTGACAGTTGTCAAGACAAAAATAAAGGTTAATAGAGGAATATTTAAAAATAAATAAGACAGACTTTTCTGGGATCTTGATGATAAAGACGAATGACGTAGTAGTTTTAGAGAGATCAAGTCATGATTAGAAGTACCTAAGTGTGAATGTGAAAAAACTGAGCACTGACTATGATCGAAAACAAATCAAAAGTTGATTAGAGAAGGTAAATGATTCGAATTGTCTGGAAAGCAAGTTGACTATTTGTGTTAAAGATTAAAAATGGCAAAAAGTTGTGGATCTCAAAGCCTGGAAAATTACTGACACTATATACAAGCCATTCAGTGTGATGAGTGTTAAAGTCACCAACAACATTGATACTGGATCGAGGATAAAGAGAAAGGGCTAGATCAATTTGATCAGAAATAACATTGAAAAGAATGCAGTCTTGAGATGAAGGAGAGCAATCTAGAACAAAGGCGATAGGGTGAAGTGGTGCTAAATGAAAGCACATAAAAGTTTGCTTAAATGAGAGAAGTTGTTGGTTAAAGTTTATGATTCCAACTTTTTAGAAAAGTTTAACTATGGCTGGGTATTTGAAAATTTTTTATGGAATGGTAATATCTTAACTGGGATGTAGTCAGTTATGTAATAAAGTCCTTTTGAAATTTATATTTTGATATTCTTAAGAAAAAAAATTTAAAATAAATTCTCCCACAAAAAATTTTAAGATTATAATAGTTTTGTAAATCATCATGGTTTTGTAAAGTACAACGGTTTTTGTAAAATACAACGATTTTGTAAAATATAACGGTTTTGTAAAATACAACAGTTTTGTAAAATACAACGGTTTTTTAAAATAAAACGGTTTTGTAAAATACAACGGTTTTGTAAAATACAACGGTTTTTTATTTTTGACTTATATAATCTGATATTAAAAGTTTTATAGTTTTTTAACATTTATTTACCTACAACAACAGTGTCAATATTTACAAGGGTATCCAATATATATTTGAAAATAGGGAAAATAGTATTATAAGAGTTAAAGAAAGTACAAAAAATAGTTTTGTACTACTACTAAGTGGTACCATGGTATATATGATATACCATGGTACCATGCTCGAAGACTCACTAGACATCAGTGCCTATGAAAACAATTGCTTGGATCTTTTCACTATTAATTAGAATAGTATTTTTTACATCTTATTTTTTTGTATGTATATGTATATATATTTGTTTTGTTTCAGCTTCAACACTGTTCTAATTTATTTAATAATGTTTCCAATGGGTATGAAAACCTTTTTAAATGTTCATTTAATGCAGATCCTTCTACGCTAAACTTAATTCAACTGTATCTTTTTTTTTCAATTTTTAAAGTTTGATTAAAATTTTTGTGTTTTGTTATTATTTTTCCTTCTCTTTACTCTTTAACCACAAACTTCCCAAACTTGTAGTGAGTGGTCAAACTTCCCAAACTTGTAGTGAGTGGTCATACATTGTAGCTTAGATACAGAATTTTGATAATTCATGACCTAAAAAGACTTTAGTTACAACAAAAACTCTTTTTTTTAATATTACCTTGACAATTTATTAGTCTACATGAATGCAGTCAAGTCATGACCTATGCTATCAAATCATTAGTTTCTGAACGCAATAATAATAGGTATTAACTTTTTTTTTTTTTTTGCTTTTTTTTTGTTATGTTTTTTTCAATTAATTGTATGTTTTAGAACAACTATAAGTACATTTCAAAATGGTTTTCTCAAATCTTTGTGCAATACTGAGTCAGTCACAAAGAAAAATCTTGCTATTTTAGAGAAAGTTCAGGTAAAGTTTAAAATTTTAAAAATTTTAATTTTCATTTTAGAAATTATTTTCACATATAAATTTACTGGAATGGGTTTTGCTATGACAATGTAATGAATGTTGCTATGACAAAGTAATGAGCGCTGCTATGAGAATAGAGATTGACATGAGAATTTAATTTAATTATAAATTAATTAGTCATAAATAAAGTATTTTAATCTGAATCTGTCTGAAGTTTTAGGAGTTTACAAACTAATCATTAACAATTGTCATCATCAATCAACAACCACAAACTAATTGATAGTCATTAAACAAAAACCAACAAACTAATTGATTGTCATCAATCAACAAACAATTTGCAGTCAACAACCACTAGGGTTTGCCAAAATTCATATTTTTATTTTATTTTGAAAAAAAATATTTTTATTTTATTTTCGTTTCTGCACTGAAACAAGAAGTCACTCTGTTAAGCACTATCCTACCAAGTTTATAAATCAAAACTATCTGATTTGCTTATTTGTAATTCTGACATTTTTATTTTGTGACTGTTTTACCTTGACCCTATAGTTGTTGCTGCACTGCACATCGTGAATGCACAACATAAACTTAAATGCATACCATTAACACAGAATGTAGTTGTTTATAGATTGTTGTGGGAACATATTTAATGATTTCAATGACTTATTTCAGCAACATAAGAAAGGTTATTACAAATAAGCAACATAAGAAAGGTTGTGTGAGTGGAGTGTGCCCCTCCCTTCCCACATTATATATTTTAAGTTTCTGACATCATTTGTGCACAGAAACGGAAACTTCTAACTATTCAAAATCCTAAAAATTTTGTTAATTTTTTTTTTTTTTTTTTTTCTTATTTTTTTTTTACCAAATATTTTGCGAACACCATGCTACCACATGAATTGATTAATAAAAATTTCATTTTTAAAACAATCACAATATATAAATCAACTAAATTTTCAACTTGAGTTAGTCAATTAACTTTTTAGTTACATTGAAAAGTTAGTCAATTTTATTTTAAGAAAATATTTGAAAATTTTTAAATTTAGAAAATTGATTCAGAGACAAAAAATGTATTTCTTTCTCAAAAGGTTAGTGGTACTTAAATGGTTATTATTTTTTTTATCAGTTTGTTTTCATTTAGATTTTTTAGTTTTTAGTTTTTCCAATATTTCATTACATTTTTTTATAAAAAGTTTTTATATTAACAATACAATGTATATATAAAAATTTTATATATATACAAAATAGTTTTTTAACTGTAAAAATTTTTTATATACATTTTTTTTTTTTTGATTTTACTTGTAATTATAATTTTATTTATAATTAAGCAAATTGATTGTTTGGTATCTGGTGTGATAGCTCAACTATCTATTGGTTTTAGTTATCCATCATATTTTTACAAAGCAGTTCAAAATACAATTTTACAAGTAAGTTATAAGTTTAAAAATTTTATCCGAAAATTTAAAAAGTAATATCTAAAAGTATAAATAGATTTAATAAAAAATAAATAAATATTGCAAGAAGAATTTTATAATAAATATCGTTAAAGATTATAATTTAAATTGAATTAATGTGAATAGTAATGATAAATAAAATTATAAACCTCCTTGCTTTCTCCCCTTCCTCTGTGCTACTGTATATACATCCTCTTTCATGTTAATATAGTATTTTTACTAATTTATTTTAGCTGTATGTAACACCAAGAATGGAAGACTCACCAACTGTCAACATTAACACAGAAATGGTTTTAAAAGTAGAAGGAGTCATTGTCAACAAATCAAATAGTAATAGTTTTTAGGCATCTTCAACATATATGATAAAAAATTACATCATGTTCAATTATATATTATTTGCATTATTTTATTTCAGCTAATATAGTATAAACCATTCTCAAAACTAACATTTTGATAATGAATTATACTAAAGTGATATATAACAAAAAATATATTAAAAAAATTATAAAAATGATTAAAATAATAAAAAATAACCAAACATGATGTAATTTATAAATTAATAATATAATATTAACAATATATTATAATTTAGTTAAACAATTTGTATATATATATATTTTTTGTTAATTCACCTCCCCAAGGTCGAGAAGGCCACTACGGCTACTTTATTTTGGTTATAACCCTTTTTCAACTCTATAACTTCGAAACACGAGCCTTGTCGAACAAGGCCACTGCGCGGAGAAACAAGAAACAAGTATATATATATATATATATATATATATATATATATATATATATATATATATATATATATATATATATATATATTATTTATTATATATTTTAATATATATGCTTATATATTTATATATAATATACATATAATATTATTTATTATGTATTTTAATATATATGTTTATGTATATGTATGTATGTATATATATATATATATATATATATATATATATATATATATATATATATATATATATATATATATATATATATATATATATATATATAAATATATGTATATATATATATATGTATATATATATATATATATATATATATATATATATATATATATATATATATATATATATATATATATATATATATATATAAATATATGTATATATATATATGTATGTAGTAGTCTCCTTGTCTGTAGTGGCTGAGAAGGCCACTACAGATGAGGAGGCTACTTAATTGTGGTTATAACCCTCTCTTAATTATTTGTAGTTGTAACCCTCTATAACTCCGTAACACAAACTTTATATATATATATATATATATATATATATATATATATATATATATATATATATATATATATATATATATATATATATAAATATATATATATATATATATATATATATATATATATATATATATATATATATGTATATATATATATATATATATATATATATATATATATATATATATATATATATATATATATATATATATATATATATATATATATATATATATATATATATATATATATATATATATATATATATATATATATAGAGAGAGAGAGAGAGAGAGAGAGAGAGAGAGAGAGAGAGAGAGAGAGAAAATAAGAATAAGTTATAAAAATTTAGAATATATTTAAATATACTCTGTATTATAGAAACTTTCAGAAGCGTTTCAAAGGTAAACTTGCTTGTGCAAGTAACTCCCACAGAAAATGTGAGGAAAGTAACACTCGATTATAAGGTAAATTTTAATATGAAGTTGATAGGGTTTGTATAATGTATACTCAATTATAAAGTATAACTTTTGTTTATATTATTACAAGATAAACATGTGTACCCTATTCACACCAAACCTACATTTTAATAGACTGCATCTTAATCATGTCTTAGTAAAACAAAATCGGGTTGTTTTACTTAAATCGGGGGGTTGTTTTATTTAAATAGCTTTTTGTACTTTCTGCATTGATGTAAAACCAGTTCTAAGTTTGATGTAAATGAAGTAATATAAAATATTTTTAAAATACTACTGTTAAAACTTGTTTTTCTGTCAATGTGAATGGGGTATTACTTAAGTTAAAGTTAAACCTTTTCCAGTCTTTGATTTTGCTAATATGCGAAAACACATAAGATAAACTGTTTATATAAGATAAACTGTTTTTGTTTGATTGTTACTGTTGTACTTGACCCAATAAAAACTACACAAATACAAAGTTTCACAATTAAGTAAAGTTGCAAAGTAATAAGTTAATAATTGGGAAAATTGTATCGTTTTAAAATAATTGTCAATGCTAAATTATATGGAAAAAATGTCATTTTTTTCATATAGTTTGGTTAATAAACTTATTACAGGGTTCATGGCACTCAGGGAAAACCTGGAAAACCAGGGAAAAGTTTTAAAAATTTAGAAAATCAGGGAATACCTGGAAAAATCAGGGAATATTTGTTAAAAATCTGTAAAATCAGGGAAAACTCAGGGAATATTTTTCAGTTTTTTATTTAGCTTGAAGTTATTTTGCAAAATACACATTTTGAGTGTTTATTGTTGTTGAAAATTGCTCACTAAAGTGGTTTTTTAACTTTTATATTATATAGTAACTATATGTTTAGCTAAATGTATAACTAAATATAATAATATAAGACATGACTTCAGAAAAGACTTATTTTCAAGAGGATTGGTTACAACAAGATATTTATAAAGATTGGTTAGTTCCCAACGCACATGCAAAAACTAAATCTCATTACAAAAAATGTAAAAAATCATTTGAATTGTCCAATATGGGTATTCAGGCTGTTAAAAGTCATGCAGCAGGTATTTATATTAACTTTTTTAATGTGAGAGTGAGAATTAAAAAGAAATGTTGCTTGATTGATTCATTATTTTATATTTTAATATCAGTTTCAAACACATTGTAATCAACTTTTGATTGCAACCTGTTTCAGTTGTTTTCCTTGTTGGTTGGTTGCTTATATTGTTTTTTCAAACTTTGCAAGCTAAACAGATTAAGAAAAAAGATAAAAATTTTTAGACATTTTAAATGTTTCATTATTTATTTATCTTGTTTTAGGTAAGAAGCATCAATCTGCTACAAAGCCTGCTAGTTGTTTCTTTATTAACGGAAAAGAGTTGCATGCTGAACCACTTGGAAGTGATGAAAAAATATCCACATTTTTCACCAAAAAACAAGCAACTATTGTCTCTTTAATTAAATCATCGTTATCAACTAATGCTGAGATCATATGGGCCCTGAAATCTACAATGAGCTGCTACTCTAATAACTCATGTGCAAACTTTTAAAAAGATGTTTCCTGATAGCAAGGTAGCAGAAGATTTCACTATGAGCACCTCAAAAGTATCATACATTGTTAACCATGGACTAGCCCCATACTTAAAGACACTTTTAAAAGAAGAAATCACAAAGTCTGATTGTTACATTGTATCTTTTGATGAGAGTTTAAACGACATAACCCAAACTTGTCAGATGGATCTACTAGTTTGGTATTGGGATGGCGATAATAAAGTTAAAGTGAGATATTGGACATCAGCATTTCTTGGTCATTCTGCAGCTTCTGACCTTCTTACACATTTCAACGAAAACTTATCAAGATTTGATTCAAGTAAAATGTATCAAGTTTCCATGGATGGGCCCTCTACAAATCTGAAATTTCTAGATGATCTTAATAAACACAGAAAGGACAACGAGATGCCACAACTTATAAATATTGGAAGTTGCTTTTTGCATGAAATCCATGGTGCTTTCAAAACAGCTATCGAATCAACAACATGGAATATTAAAGAAACTTTAAAAGGGTGTTGGCAAATTGTTCATGATAGCCTAGCTAGGCATCAAGATTATGAAACAGTCACAGGTGCAACAAAATACCCTCTCTTTTTTTGTGGAACAAGATGGGTTGAAAGTAAATCTGTTGCAGATTGTTGCATTGAAATCTGGCCTAATATATGTAAGTTGATTGAGCTTGGGGAAAAGTTACCATCTTCGAAACAACCTAAATCAAAAAGCTTTTTAAATGTAAAAAAGGCTGTTAAAAACAAACTTATTATTTTAAAATTTGAAATTTTCAGCTTTGTTGCAAGCATATTAGAGCCATATTTGTTGGCATACCAAACTGACAAACCAATGATTCCATTCATGTATTGTGACTTAGAAAGACTGTTACGAACCATACTGAGCTTGTTTGTGAAACAAGATGTTATTGATAATAGTTGTATTTCAGTCCAACTAAAAGAAGTTGATTTTCATAAAAAAGCTAATCTACTTAAAGGAAATCAAATCAAACTAGGGTTCGCAGCTGAAACAAGACTGGCTGTTTTACAAAAGAAAGATATAATAACCATTGCTGATATTCAAAGTTTTCACAAAGATTGCTCTAACATGTATGTTTGATTGATTGAAAAGTTCATGGACGGAACTCCACTAGGATCTATCATTGTACGCAACTCTCAGGTTCTTAACCCAAATGCAATGGTAGTAATGACTCAAAAAGATGCCGAGAAGAAGTATAAATCTTTATTGACCCACTTGATTAGCTTGAAATATGTTTCACCAATCTTTTCTGATAAAGCTATAAATCAATTTGCAGATTTCTTTTGAGAATCAAGGGTTTATCAAGACATCTTTCATGAACTCAATCAAGAAAGAGATAGCTTAGACAACTTCTATTTAAAAAAATTTAACCTAGATAAATATAAAGAGTTTGCATTGACTGTTATAATATTATTAACACTAAGCCATGGACAAGCCTCAGTTGAGAGAGGTTTTAGTATAAATGCCACTGTACTAGAACAGAATTTAATTGAAAAATCAATAACTGCAAGACGTTTAGTCAAAGATCATATGCTATCAAATAATCTTCAGCCACATAGTATTGAAATTACAAGCAAAATGATCATCAGCATAAAATCGGCACATGAAAGATATAGAAGCTACCTAAATTCAATCGCAGACACTAACAAAAAAGAAGCAAGTCAATTGGCAAAAAAAGTTGTTAGCGATGAAATAAAAGATGTTGAAACGAGGCGAGATCAACTGAAGAAAACCAGTGAAATGTTGCAGTTTGATTTGTAAAATTTGTTGAGGAAGCAGAGGAGAAGCAAGATCTAGGGTTAATTTCTAAAGCTAATGCGATGAAACAAAAAGCAAATGAAAAAAATGAAGAAGTAAAGAAATTAGAGCTAGCACTTAAGCTAGAATAAAGAAATTAGAGCTAGCACATCTTAGAGCAAAAAAGAAAGTTGCTAAAATAATATATTCGTTCTCACATGAAGTTTATATTTTGTTAACAAAACACATTAGTTTTTTCAAAACATGTATAAATTGTTATTTTTTTAATATATTTCTTTTAGTTAGCAGATTAATATGGCTCTGTTTCTTGTTTAAAACACCTTTAACGGATTGCTATAAATTAATTAAAAACAGTCTCTGATTTCTTAGAAAATAGTGATAAAAAGTATTTAGGGAACAAGGATTCAGTTGCAAAAGTATTATATTTTTCAACATTGATAGGCAAAATATTTAGACTTTTCACCGCACGAACTCAGGGAAAAAATACTTGAAAATCAGGGAAAATCAGGGAAAACTCAGGGAAAATGGTTTTTCAAAACTGCCATGAACCCTGTATTAGTATTTTGAGGTGTATCAATTTGACAACAGGCTTTGTGCATTGTGGTCAATAAAGTACTACATAAGTACTACAGCAGAAAAACAAGTGTGATTGGTTAATTGGTTGATGATTCGAAGCATCAATTGGTTGATGCTTTAGCTTGAAAGCTGTAGCCCTTAAACATTACAAACTGTAGAGCTACAGCAGTCTAAGTTTGTCTGAGTTCTAATTTAAAAAATTTTTTTTTTTTTTTTTTTTTTTTATTTGCATTCACTCCCAACAAGGCTGCAAGCAACCACTATTAAGTTGGGAGTTACTAGGAAAAAAAAGAACAGAGTTATAGAGCAAGGAAACGGTTGACAGAAGACTTGAAAAGTTGAAGGTTGTAGGAATCAGGAAAACATGAAGATGGGAGAGAGTTCCAAAGGATTGAAGTGCGGGGAAAAAAACTAGATGAATAAAAGTTTTTAGAGCATGCTGGGACAGATACAGTAAACGAATGAGACTTAGCTGAATGACGAGTAAAACGAGAATGAATTTTAGTTGATGGAACTAGAGATGATAACTCCTTTGAGCAGTGACCATGATAGTATCTGTAGAAAAGAGAAAGAGATGCAACTTTACGACGATGGGAAAGAGGTTCAAGCTTAGCAGATAGTCCAGGTCCAACAACATTTACAATGCGTTTTTGGACCTTGTCAAAAAGAGAAAGTGAATCGTTAGAAGAACCAGCCCAAATATGACAACAGTATTCCATACAGGGACGAATAAGAGATTTGTAGAGGTAGAGAATGGAATCAGAAGTAAGGAAATGGCGAGCACGATAAAGAGAAGCAACCTTAGCAGAAGCTAATTTAGCAATCGATTGTATATATGGTTTCCATGAAAGGTCAGTAGTAAGCGATAATCCAAGAAGACGTAAAGAGGACGACTCAGTAAGAGGATTGCCATTCATTAATATAGGAATGTTGACCATACTACGGTAGTTGTTTGCAGTAAGCAATTGGGTTTTTTTAGAGTTGAAATTCACAAGCCACTGTGAACCCCAATCTGTTACTGAAGTGAGATCAGATTCAAGATCAGCTGCTTGTTCTAGGCGATCGAAAAGAGAAGACTTTTTGTCAAGACAGGAGTATAAAGTTGAGTCATCAGCAAAAAGAGCTACTTTAGATGAAAGGTTGTCAGGAAGATCGTTTATGTAGATAAGAAACAAAACAGGGCCCAGGATGGAACCTTGGGGAACCCCAGAAGTTACTGGAAATAAAGAAGAGTGTTGGCCTTCAAGGATGACTTTAATAAACCGATCAGAAAGAAATGATTTGATAATCTCAAAAACTTTCCCAGAAACACCATATAAAGCAAGCTTATGGAGAAGACCAGCATGCCAAACTTTATCGAAAGCTTTAGATATGTCGAGAGCAATAGCCCTAGCCTCACCGCCTCCATCTAATGCACGATAAAATCTTTCAGTTACAGCAGTTAGCAAGTCGGCCGTAGAGCGAGAGGATCGAAAACCGTATTGATTGTCTGACAGCAGTTTATTTGACTCAAGAGATGTGAGGAATTTGTTGATCAAAGACTCAAAGACCTTGCTAATAACAGAAAGAAGACTGATCGGACGATAATTGGAGGGGTCAGAATTTTCTCCAGAGTTTTTGAATATTGGAACCACAGATGCCATTTTCCAACAAGCAGGAAAACAAGACTCAGTCAAACACTTGTTAAATAGTTTAGAGAGAATTGAAGAAAGTTCTGGAGAACAATTCTGCAAGACTGTGACAGGAATGTTGTCTGGACCACAAGCTGTAGACGAGTTTAATTGAGACATGACTTTAGCAACAGAAGCCGGAGTGATTTGAATGTCTAACAATGGGTCAACCTGTTTGACTGGAATAAAAGGAAGAGAATGTCCATAAGATTCAAGAGTGGAATTAGAAGAAAAGTTCTTTGCAAACAGTTCTGCCTTATCTCTGGGAAAGGTAACAAGATCAGTCCCATGAATGAGAGATGGAATGTTAGATCTACCCTTGTTAACAATAACAGTTAGCTTTAATTTAAAATTGATTTGTTCAATGACTGAATTAATTCCAGTTATTGACATTTCAATTTGTGAAAAATTCAATCTTTTTCTTATAGCTTTTCAGCTATTTTTGCCACTTTAAAAATAAAATTTTCAACAACAAATTGTGTGTGCTCTTGAGTTATTAGTTGACTTTAGGTGTTTTTGGGTTGCATACCAATTAACATTTTCTAGTTTTTTTTGAATTTAATTTTTTTATTAAGTCACTTCGAGCTTGTCAAGTCTCAAGTTATGTTAAATAAAAGTTAAATAAGTTGCCTTGTTAATTTTTTGTTCTCTTGTTAATTTTTTGTTTTCTTTACTTGTTAATTTTTTGTTCTCTTGTTAATTTTTAGTTTTCTTTACTTGTTAATTTTTTGTTCTCTTGTTAATTTTCTGTTCTCTTTACTTATTAATTTTTTGTTCTCTTTGCTTGTTAATTTTTTGTTTTCTTTACTTGTTAATTTTTTGTTCTCTTTGCTTGTTAATTTTTTGTTCTCTTTGCTTGTTAATTTTTTGTTCTCTTTACTTGTTAATTTTTTGTTCTCTTTGCTTGTTAATTTTTTGTTCTCTTTACTTGATAATTTTTTGTTCTCTTTGCTTATTAATTTTTTGTTCTCTCTGCTTGTTAATTTTTCGTTCTCTTTACTTGTTAATTTTTTGGTAGGGGTATGTTGTAAATTTGTAAATTTTGTATTTTTTCCAGGTTTTTTGCATCAGCTTGTGAAATTAGTTCCAGGCTGTTCATTACAATTTGAAAAACATTATTCTAATTTTCCAAAATGTAACGACTTTTAAAACAGATTTTGTTTTCTTTATATATATACGATGCATTTATTAAAACAGATCTTTAAAAGCATTCCTGATATAATTATTATTTCGGTGCTCTACTTCACTTTCGATCTGAAGCTATGTTATATATATGTATTTTTAATTTTTAGGGACAGTTAACGGTTGTTTTTTTTAGTTTTGAAATGATGTTTCATTGCTGATAAAAAGTATTAAAGTTTATTGTTAAAGAATTATTAGATTTATTATATTATTACATTATTGTTATTATGAGTATTAAAAATTATTAATACTGGAGGGAGGTCTTTAATAATCTTGTTAATCATAACAAGCTTGGGGTGGGTGGGAAAATTTTCCAAAAATTAATAAACGTTTTCTCAAACCTTAAAATACTTCTTGAGTAATTTTCTGATATGTATTTTCTCTGTAAGTTTTTTTGATTAGTAATCTCGTTGCCATTTAAACTTGCCTTTTAAACTGCGGAACATTTTTGTTCCTGCAGTTCGAATATAAGTGGTGTTTTTCGTAACGACAGGTAACGTTTTTCATCGGATGAATCAATTTATGTCATGTTGCTATGCCATAGTAGTTTTGAATTTTCTTTTAAATTTATCTGCTAATCTTTTTTTGTCTCAATCATTGTTTTTCTCATAAATTTATCGTCTAATCTTTGTTTACGAAATAGTTTTTAACACAACAAAAAATTTTCGAATACTTACCTTATACTTTTATTTAAAAACAAATTATTTTTACTAGTCTGCTAACCACCCCCCCTCCCCCTCTCCATTGCGCCTAAAAATTTAAATAACTTAGACAAAAGTAACTATTTTTTTAAGTTTTTTGATTTTGTTTTCCTTTTTTTTATTTATTGACGTTTATTTCCCCCGACATAAAAAAGGCTTTCACAAATTTTGCATATTTTAAATATACGAATTCCATTTCCAATTTATAAGTAATAAAATTTATTAATAAATGTGATTGGTTTTAATTTATTTTTTCAACTTATGACTTGTTTTTTATGTTGTAATCATGTCCCATTGGTTTATAAGTCCATGTATGATACTTTTGTATTTGTATGATATTTCTGTATATGTATGATTATATATGTATAAGTTTTGTCTGACAAAGACGTCACTTTGACGTTCTATACGTCGCTTGAACGTCCCAAAAACGTCTTTTACAAGCCAAAAACTCGCTGCGTATACTCTACCTATATGACTGCATTTACTATATGTGACTGTATTTTTTTTCTTCTGTTTTTAGCCGATTAATTTTGAAGAAATGGTTTTCAAAGAATCTACCGCACCTACCAACGATTACTTTTCTGCTCAATTCCTCCTTTCATTCAAGTATCTTGGCAACCACTTAATAACAATAAGTGCAGGTGTTACAGATGAAAACAATTTTGATTGGGAGACTGGACCTAGTTCTTCACTTCAAGTAGAAGTTTTTGAGCAGCGAAAAAAATAAGATGAAAAGTGAGCCTCAATATTTAAAGTTATATCGTGTCATTATCAAATAAATAGTTTACTTTCTACATCCCTTACCCTGCTTATTATCTCCTCTAGCTCTGCCAAACGTGCATTACTGGTAATTTTAACGTAAACTTTGATATCCAATGATTGAACAGTGGTTTTTTGTCAAAATTTGTAATCACCATTTAACTAAAGCCTGATTAAAACAAAGAGTAGCTAACTAAACCACATATCTTTAGTTAAACGATTTAGTAGTAATATAACGCTTATTAAGGTGGTATCTAAGAGAAAATAAAAGGCATTTTTTGAAATTTATCGAAAATTTAAAGGTGAAAATTTGGTGTTTAATTTTAAACTTTAATTTAAATTAATAAAAAATAAAAAACTTGCGCGTTTAAGCAAAATTTGCCCTTCTAGATAAAGTGTTACAGTTCTATGGCCATAGTAACTTTTTTTTTCTCCAAATATTTCAAGATGAAAACCTTATCAAGACATCTAGTTTTCACCTGAAGGCTTCATTTATTCTTTTAAATACCTCCCTTTATCCAGTCTATAGAGAAAGCAACACAGTATATGAAAAAAACTATTCGAAAAAGCGGATTAATATCGAAATCTTTTTTAATAAAAATGTTTTTTTAATATTTTTAATATTAATTTTTTTAATAAAAATGTTTTTTTAATATTTTTAATATTTTTTTATATTTTTATTTTTTGATAATTAATTTTAAGGATTTAATTCAAAAACGAAACAAAAAGTCGAAAAAAAAGTCGAAATTCATTTAGTAGGAATAATGTCATAAATGCCTATACAGAATAATGTTGAAATTTGAATTTAGGAATAGTATTAAAAAAACTAGTAAAGAGGAAGAACATGTGAGGAGTGTTGCTACATCGACTGACAAGAACGTAGAACGTGAAAAGAGTGTCTACATCGATTACTTAAAGGTAGAACATGCAAGGAGTGTTGCTAAATCGACTGATTAATAGGTAGAACATGCAAGGAGTGCTGCTACATTGACTGAGAGTTTGGTTTGGGCAGGCAGTCAATTAAAAATAATTGAATCACCATTTTTTTAATTTTTGACATTCAATTTTTAATTATTTCAATCTTAATTATTTTCTTTTAATTTCAATCTTGAACTGCTTTTAGGATTTTCGATACTATTTTTTTTTTTCACAATTTCGTATTTATTTTTTATTTCGATATTATTTCGGAAAGTCCCTTTTCGAATTAGTTCAGTTTGGCTTACTACTTGTTACTACTGTTACTACTACCCAGTCTATAAGCTATACAACAAAGCCCCTAAAACGTACTAAGCTGAGAGCTTGTAAAAAAAGGTTGTGTTGATAATTCTTATTTATGTCAGTTAAAAAACAAGAATATTTTCAGCTAATAAAGCTATCATTGCTGATTCTTAAAAAAATTAAAATAAATTACAATAAAGAAAAAGAAAAAGGTTTGCTACACAAAATTGAAATGCTAATTACCGAGTCAAAACAAATCAGCGTCTAGAAAAAAATCAAATACCTCATTTTCTAAATGTAAACCTCCAATTATCACCATTGGATGAAATTTTTTCTAAACTGATATTTTCTTGTCTTAAACATTGTTGGACAACGCCCTCGAGTTTTTTCTTGACTTTAATTTTTCACAATGTTTGTAGCCTCCGAACAAGGATAAGTTTTGATTGGATACTGAGTTAAAATTTTTTATAGTGTGATCTATTTATAGTGTGACCTATTTAGAGTATTCTGAGCAAAGCAGTTTAAAATTTTATAAAAACAACACAAGTAATGTCATTTTTACATAAACATTTAGTCTAAAAGTATGTTTTAAATATGTTAAAAATTATTTTCTAACCTGGTGCGTGTAGAAAATGATTTTTTTTTTCTGGCTCGCTCAGAACATAGAATTGTAAACAGATTTCAATTTATAATTTCAAGAGATTCTGACCATTTTTAATAAGTTATCTATGTTGGAAGGCATCAAATTAGGGGAAAAATCTACTCACACGCAAATAGTGTTAAATGCTTTTTTTAATAGTATATATTATTAGAACAAAAGTTTTTTTCTTTTCAAAAGCTTTTTGAAAAAAAAGTGTTTTACCCGGCTACCACCTTTTACCGGCAATCGCCGCTGAGCACTTGTAAGTTTCAATTTTGTAATTTTGCACATATTTTTATTATAGAATTTAATAATTCTATAATAAAAATATGTGCAAATGTAATATATGGCTATCTATACCAAGCACTGGATGAAGTTTTAGATTGGTTTACTGATTGAGAATATATGACAGTTTCAGCCTTTCAGTCTTTTGTTTCTTATATCTCAAAACACTTCTAATTACTGTGATATTTGATAACTATTATCGATAAATAAGGGTAACATTAGTGTTATATTATGTAAACCAAGAATTTTTATTATATTGTTTTATTACTGCATGTGCAATAGGGTACATCAGAGTTTCAAAATTTTTGATTTTAAATTTGTCTGATAATTTTTATGGTGCCGCTATATGTAAATAATGACTTAGAGAAATAAAGATTAAAAAAAAAATTTTTTTTACCAGTTTTCGGCATTTTTCGGAAAGAGAAAATTTATCATTTAAACCTAATTTAAAGGGTTACAATTTTTAAATTATTGAAATCTCAAACTTTTTAGAATTTTTTTATATATTACCATATGCTATGAAATGTGAATATATATTTTTTTAAAATAAATATCTTAGTGGGGTAATTTGCGTTAAAAGTTTAAAATAAATGAGTTAAAATATAATAAGACATACAAATTTAAAACAATTAGATATCCCCCCCCCCCCCACTTTTTTTCTAAAAGACTTTTTTTCTTTTTTCTTTTTTTTTTTTAAACTTGATATAGAGGACTTTTTTCACAAATTAATAGTTGTGTTCCCCCCAACTCCTTCAAAACCCGTGTTGTCGGCCCTGATATTCATTGTTTGAAAAGCGTCAATTAAAGGTTAAGGATCGTCTATGAATTACGTAACACGAAAATAAACTTATAGACAAAAGACAAAGCATTAAAAGTTTTCTCTCGCAGAGTCATTAACTAAACCAAGTGTATAAACAATCTTTAAAGTCCAGCGAAAACCGCCGCGCAAAAGAGTAAAATGATCTCCTACTTGTATTTTTAAAATATGTTTTGCGTTGCGTAATTTATGGGCAATCCCTTAGACAATATTACTATAATAATTATTTATCATTAGATGGTTTTAAGGGCAACCCATGAGTTCTTAGAAATTGGAGGGGGATTGTACAAACACCATAACAGGTTCAGGAAAAGATGGAGGTTTTCTATAAAATTTAGAATAAACAACCAGAAGGCAATTATTCTGGTCTATTTGTATGCTGCAATGAATTAAATTACAGTTGAGGCATATAACTGTTAAACTACATGCTCCAACTTATTCAAAGAATGCTTTTACTGACCCTATTACAAAGATTTTATCTAAAGTTGATGGCATAAAAAAAATTGAAACATTTGAACCTATATAACAACTGGAACCTTTAATTGAACATCCTGAAAAATTCCCAAAACAAAGTTGACAGATGCAATTCTTTGTTATAAGTTGGTATAACGTTTATCTACAGACCATATCGACATAAATCTTTCTAAAGCAAAGCGTAAAAGTATTTGCCATAGAAGATAGTTTGCCACAGCAGCAGAGGCTTTCATTTTTTTCTAAATGAGTGAGCACACACTTACTGGTGACGTTTTTTAAAAGTTTCATTTAATCGTTAAACGGATAGCACTGCTGAAAAGACAAGAAAAATAAATTCTAAACATTGTCACGCAATACATTTAAAATGGATCTTACAGCTGTGCCTCTAACACAAAGTTCTTCCCTTCAACCCCTTTACAATATATTGATAAGGGGTTGTCGAGCAAGTACGTACACTTTTATTTCAACCCTCCCCTCTGACCCCTTGCATTTTTCTATACGCGTTTTTAAGTACCCTCTAACTCCCTAAAAGTACCTACGCTTTTAACCAAGTATCTACCCAACATTTTATGATATTTTTTTCAATTTAGTGTCTCGTTACCTTCAAATTAACATCTGCCACTAACCTTTCATCATACACCATTTGCAGACCCCCTCTCTCATCCGAGCGTACGTACTTTGTGAACGATTCCTAACAAGAAATAAACTTAAAAAATTAGTACCAAAATAAGCAAAATATTAAAATTACCGATGTTTATTTCTCAAGTACCCATTCCGAAAATAAGCATTTCACAAGTTTTGCAATACAAAATTAGCGCCTTTGGTGTAGCATTTAACGAGCGCCTTCGCAAAACGACATTTCGAAGTCCAATATAAAAGTTTATTCGCTAAATAGATAGAAATGTAAAAATTAAACATCATTATGTACCAAAATGTTTGCAATTAAATGTTACTTTTACAATCACAAAGTATTACCACTATATAGAATCTATAATGACTTGTTTTATAAGTTTTTCCAAGAAAGTGACTGATCTTTTTTTTTTTTTTTGTGTGTAACTTATTTCGCCGTTAAAAATGTTTACATTGCATATACATATATTGAAATTAATGGCTGGAGCAAGAAGAAGGCACATTTTGCCTTATCGCCCAGCCCCTTATATATATATATATATATATACAGAGCCGTCCTTAGGGTGGCGCGAGTGGAGCAGCCGTTCCAGGCCTCGCGGTTAGAAAAACCTCGCGCCGCGAGGCCATCCTAAACACGAGCAATCAAAACTTTTACTTATTGTTAACGAGAGTAAGGCCTCGCGCAGCAACGCCTTACTCTTGCTAAAAAATAAAAGGCATTACTGTCGTTAAAAAATAAGAAAAAGTTTTGGTTGAATGAAAATAATATATCAATAATATTCGTGCAAAATATCTAATTACCCCCGCAATTATTTATTAATTAAATTTTTTTTTTTAATTAATATTTAATATCAACATGATTCTCCTTCGTATGTGATAATAGCAAACAAAAAAACGCAAATCATTGTTCGAAGCCACAGCCTTGTGGCTTCGAACAATGATTTGCGTTTATAATATTTTAATAATTCTATAATAATTTA